GCTTTAACATATTCAGTAACACACTCCAGAGCAAGAGTACATCTCTTTCACAAGTGGCTGCAAGTTTCTAGGATCACAGTTGAATTAATACAGTTATACAATATTGAACTCAATATGAGCCTTATAAGACATAAAATTGAATGAGTTTTTAACTTTTAAAAAAGATCTCCGTTTCATTTTAGAATATATTGTTCCTTGCAGAAAGACTCACTGTTTTTGCTAGTAACATTGAGCTGTTGATGCATGCATCTCTAATCTGTATGTATCTGATTATTACTACTCATAATTGGTTGCACTTGGATCCTTGGTGCCTGTGTGTGTGTCTCTAAAGTCGTCGGGTAGATTTCAATGGTAATGTTTATCACCTCTACTAATTAACATGACGTAAATTTCCATGCTTCCTCCTCAAATATAATACTCTTCAAAAATTGAGCTGTTGATGCATGCATCTCTAATCTGTATGTATCTGATTATTACTACTCATAATTGGTTGCACTTGGATCCTTGGTGCCTGTGTGTGTGTCTCTAAAGTCGTCGGGTAGATTTCAATGGTAATGTTTATCACCTCTACTAATTAACATGATGTAAATTTCCATGCTTCCTCCTCAAATATAATACTCTTCAAAGGGCTCATTTCCAAATACAGCTGCACTGGGGTTTAGGGCCTCCACATATGACTCTGAAGAACATTGATTACCCTTCCCTCCTGGTTGACACCTATCACATGCGATTCCAGGCAGAATGGAGTGGTGACTGAGAATAGGGGCACTGAGAGCTTGGTTCTTCATCTGCAGACATGCTTCCAAAGTAGCAAGCTGTGAAAGCTTAGGCAGGATCTAATTCTCCTGAATCTGGGCTGCATTATGATGTGAAGAGCTGTATCTAGCATATAGGTGTGTGATGAGTCAACAGGAAAGTAGATTAGTGTTCCAACAATGCCTGGTGTAGCTTTATCGACCAAGAAAACTTCAGCTGCTGCCTGTAGTTCAATATCTCCTATTTTCACCAGATTATTAACTCTGTAGAATCATTGTCTATTGCATTTTCCACGTGGTGTCACCTAGCACAATGTCTGGGATACAGTAAGACCTCAATGACTAGTCAACGAACAAATGAATACTATAATTAATGAGAGTGACAAAATAAAATCCATGTGACAGTAAAAGAAAAACGGGATATCTTTTTGATATTGCTTTAAGATCTCAGCCAGGATGATAGAGTAGATATGGTGGTGCTTTATTAACTGTCTTCTCTAGCTCTTGCCTCACTATTTGTCTCAGTCTGACCAAGACTCATTTCTACCTTTATTTATTAATATTAATATGTTCATTTATTTTGTGCCCCATTCTTGCTCTTTTTTCCTCCTCCCCTTTATGGAAAACTACTTGAATGTGGATGATACTCTGCCTTCTGTGTTTTATTTTAATGTCGGTTGCCAGTGCGCTGTTCATATCCTTCTTTCTTCTTCCACTTTTCCTCTGTGCAACTTTTGGGTTTTTATTCTTGTTTGTTTGTTTTGAACAGTAAGCACCAGTACTGTCTATTTCTGAGCATTTTTGTCCTTCTTGAAAGTTGTATGGATTTACATTGTAAATATGCTGGATGCTGGATAATACACTGAAATTCTAAAATTAAAGTTACTAAATTATTTATATAAGAAAAGAAAAATATTTTTTTTAAAATTATCCAAACTACTTAAAAACATATTAGGTATTTTTCGTACATTGGAAAAAACATTTTTCTTGGATTGCTACTTATATCTTACAAATAAAATGTAGAAAATATTTTCTTTGAAAATTCTAAGATACTTTTCAGTTGGAAAAACAAACCTGATGAACACAGGTTTGTTGAAGTCTTTAGAGATTTTAAAAAAGATCACTGAATGTTTAACAGAATCATTAACTGAGTACTTTTACAGATAGGGCTGGGGCTCATATTCAGTAAATTCAATGGCAAATATGTGTTTCTGATGTCAGATTTAGTTTTTAATATGCATATCCTTTTACAGTTCCTCCAAGTGTCATCGGTCCTAACCCTGAAAACCTTACTGTGGTGGTGAATCACTTCATCTCTTTGACCTGTGAGGTCTCTGGCTTTCCCCCTCCTGACCTCAGCTGGCTCAAGAATGAGCAGCCCATCAAACTGAACACCAATGCTCTCATCGTGCCTGGTACGGGGCTTGCTTTCTCGAAAGGCAGCCAAGTATCTCATTTTCCCTCACTGTAATACAAAGCCATTTCAGCTCAACCTCTTTTAAAGTTGTGTCTTCTTCCCTTTGTTTCCTCACAATAAATTTCTCTCTTTACCCAATTAGAACCATTAGAATAAGATTGCATAGACTTTTATGATTTTAGTACAATAAAAAAGGTCTCCTTCTACAAATTATGCAATTCCAAAAAAGTTTGGTGGTTCTGCGCTTGAATAGTAAATAGCACTGTACCGTATAAACCCACTGGTTTTCTTCAATCAAACCCTGTAGTGTAGATGATGGGTAGTTAAACATATAAGCAGGTAATAAAGAAAATAGAAAGTGAGGGCCGATGACATGACTCAGTGAGTAAGGTGCTTGCTGCCAAACCTGATAATCTGAGTTTGATCCCTGGGACTCATATAAGTGACTCCTGAAAGTTGTCCTCTGACCTCTGCATGGATTAGCATATTCCCTAAAACAAGTAAGTTAATTTTTTTTTTTTTTACTTAAAATTTAAAGAGAATAGAGAGTGAGTGAGCAATGAGTACTTGAGTGGACAGATAAAACTCAGGGGACTAACATGTGGCCCACATGCCACATTCATTTCAGAATAGCTATGAGTACAACTCAGTGCATTTGCAGGTAACATTGTGTAACAGTGTCAAAAGGCTGGACGCCCTGAGCTACGTAGACAGATGAGACAGTACAAAAGGACAAACATTCACCTCTGCACTGTGGGAGATTTAAACTCAGAAAGCACTTGCTCAATCCCTGGGACCCACAGAGTGAAGGAGAGAACCAGTCCCCACAAGCTGTCCTCTGACTTCTACATGTGCTGTGTCACACAAGCACCCACACACATAAATAAATTAACTCATGTTAAAAACAAAACAAAGTTGAAAACAGCCTCTATATCTCAGTTCACGCTGTATTTGCCCACAGGTGGTCGAACTCTACAGATTATTCGGGCCAAGGTATCTGATGGCGGTGAATACACCTGTATAGCTATGAACCAAGCCGGTGAAAGCAAGAAAAAGGTTTCCCTGACTGTTTATGGTTTGTTTTTTCTCTCTTCATAATATAATTTCATTTTATTCCACACGTTTCATCTGAGCAACTTGGTAAAAATATAAAATTTCTGTTCTTATTTCCCACCTCAGTGCCACCAAGCATTAAGGATCAGGGTAGCGAATCTCTTTCTGTAGTTAATGTAAGAGAGGGATCTTCAGTGTCCTTGGAATGTGAGTCGAATGCTGTCCCGCCTCCAGTCATCACGTGGTACAAAAATGGGCGGATGATAATGGCGTCTACTCATGTGGAGATTTTAACTGGTGGACAAATGCTGCACATCAAGAAAGCCGAGGTGCATCTTTGATCCTTGTTTGAGTGTCGTGACTCCATGGTGGGGTTGCGGAAGAGCTAACGGGAAGATGCCTCCCCCCTGTGACCACAGTGAACAATGCTGTTCATGAAAAAGTACATGCCCAAAATCCACTGAACTTACTTTCATCGAAAGGAAAGAAATAGGATTTCTGAAGGCAACTAGGAGTGGGGCACTAAGCATAAAGATGACTGATGATTTAATCTCCACTTGAACCCTGTGATTGGTCATCTATCACTTAATGGAGCACATACAATAGTATCTTTTTCTTTTAGGTATCTGACACAGGCCAGTATGTATGTAGAGCTATAAATGTAGCAGGACGAGATGATAAAAATTTCCACCTCAACGTATATGGTGAGCATCTGCCTCTGATACAACTTCTTCCCCTAGATATGCAAATGTCGGAAAGTATCCTGAATTGACATAATGAGGTTACTCGATTTTCTTCTGTCTTTCTTGCAGTACCTCCCAGTATTGAAGGGCCTGAAAGAGAAGTGGTTATGGAGACAATCAGCAATCCAGTAACCTTGACGTGTGACGCCACGGGGATCCCTCCTCCCACTGTAGCATGGTTAAAGAACCACAAGCCCATAGGTAACACAGCTGAACATTTTTGTGGTAGTCTTGTTTTGATCATAACTCACTGATTTATAACTTAACACATTTCAGTATTATGCTTATCGCTGTGTTTAGTTCAAGAAAGCTTAATAATTTGGAATGCAAGCTTAGTAAGTAGACTGCTTGCTTGTTTTCTGAGGCACTGCAGACTGGCATGCCATATATATATATATATATGCCTGTAGAGTCAAATTTGTGTTCACAAATGTCCTTCAGTGTGGCTCTATCCACTGGAGCCTGGTTAACTCACCACGGGAAAACATTCAAGAAATATATTTGAACATAAGAATGGCATGGTGAATTGATTGTACTGTCAGAAATTAAAGTGTTTTGTTTTATTTTGCTTTGTTTCTACCTGAAGAAAATTCTGACTCACTTGAAGTTCACATTTTGTCTGGGGGAAGCAAACTACAAATTGCTCGTCCTCAGCATTCAGATAGTGGAAACTATACCTGTGTTGCATCAAATCTGGAGGGAAATGCCCAGAAAAACTATCTGCTTCTGATTCAGGGTATGTCATGCTCATCGTGGTCTGCCTTCTAGTCTTAGCTATATTCCATCCATACCACAAAATAGTCTGTATTTAGGGGCTGGAGGGATGGCTTAGTAGTTAAGAGCACTAGCTGTTCTTGCAGAAGACCTGAGTTTAAATCTCAGCACCCACATGGTGGCTAACGACCATCTGTAACTCCAGTTCCAGGGGATCCAATGCCCTCTTCTGTCCTCCATGGACATTGCACAACACATGTGTACTTTCATACCTGCAGGCAATATACTCATACATATGAAATTAAAATAAATTAAAAAAATAGTCTGTATTTAAATAGATTACTAACAACAGACTCAAAATACCTTTAAGCCACAAAAATGTCATTTTAGGTCATACAGTTATCAGTAGATTCTATTTTCCTTGAAAAGAATGTAAATATGGGGGAAAATAGCAGAAATTAGGAAGCCTCTATTGGTTACATTTTTTAATGAAAGCGTTATATTTCTGTGATATAGTCTATCAAATTTTATTTCATTTGGTATCATTTCTTTTCATACTAAGACTATAAGTCTGTTCTTATTTTTATAAATATGTAAGATCTAATTCATGAGATTGTGCTGTTGTCTAGTCATAGGTAGGAAATTAGGTAAATTTCAAATAATCCTGAGTCTTACTCAATTTTGTAATGAGAAGGGGCGTTAATTTACCCAGTAAATATTGAATTATTACCACCTGTGTTGCAGCATAGTACTGACTGCTGCAGGGAGAATCTGTTTCTTTTTTATCCTGAGTAATGTGTTTTGACTCAAAACGGAAGTCCAGTGTCCTGATTTTTATTATACTTACTAAAGAATTTCTAATAAATTATACTTCAATCTGGAATATAAATCTATCTGTCGTTGCTGTGTTAAAGCTAACTCAAAAATCCCCAAAAATTAAAGAAAAAGAAACCCTTATTAGTGGTCTCTACAATGATCAAGATGCTTTGAGAATTCAGAGGCAAAAAAAGGAAAAAGCAGCTTTTCAGAGATTCAGCATAAGAAATTGCATGGTTGGGGTTGGCAGACTGACCCAGTGGTAAGGTATCTGCCTTCAATTCTGAGAACTTGAGTTCGATCCCTGGGAACTACATGATAGGAGAGAACTAACTCCTGCAAGGTGTCCTTTGACCTCCACACATGTGCTATGGTGCATGTGTCACACACATGCACCCCCACACTCAAATAAATAAAATAGAATTAAAATTTTAAACAAAAATAAATAAATTGTATATTTAATCATGCTGTCCATTAATAAGAAATGATATAAATCATAGTTTGTGATGTGACCAAACATTATCTAGAATTTCTTTTCTTTTTCTTTTAAATTTATTTATGTTTATTTTATGTGTTTGAGTGTTTTACCTGCAAATATGAAAGTGTACCATGTTCTGGGGCCAGAAGAGAGTGTCAGATCCCCTGAAACTAGAGTCACTGATTGGTTTTAGCCACTGTGTGGGTACTGGGAACTGAATCCAGGTCCTCTGCAGGAGCAGCTGGTTCTCTTAACTGCTGATCCATCTCACCAGTCCCCTATTTATAATTTCTATAATTTCTTTAAACTAGAGAAAATGTGTACACATAGGCCCTAGCATAGTGCTTGTCATATAGTAGACACTAATTAGGGGAAGACTCATAAATATTTCTATTATCTCTTCTTCAATACTCTAACTTGTGTCAATTTAGTATAGTTATTATCTTCTGGCTGATTAAAATGACATTTATGGGCAGGGGGACTAGAGAGATGGCTTAGTGTTTAAGAGCACTAGCTTCTCTTGCAGGGACCCAAGTTCAGTTCCCAGCACCCACATGGCAGCTAAAAACCGTCCACAACTCCAGTTCTGGGACCTGACACCCTCTTCTGACCTCCATGGGCATTGCAGAACATGGTGGCACTTATATACATGCAGGAAATACACTTGTATGCATAAAAAATAATAAACTATTAAAAATAAAATGTCATTTAAGAAGATGACAGTGTGTTGTGCTAGTAAATGTTTAATGATTGATTCTCTAAACAAAAAGTCCCTGATTTGTAGCCAGTAATGTGTCAGTTTCCTGGTGCTCATATGCACAGCATGGCCTATTTCCAGGTGCCATAATGCCATTGAGTATGGCATTGGGAAGACAAGTTACATAGACTCCTGTGGACTAATGTTATCTAATTTATTATTTTTATTTTATGTGTATGAGTGTATTGCCTGCATACATGCAAGTGCACCAATGTCGCAATGCCTGCGAAGGTCAGAAGAGAGCATCAGATTCCCTAGACTTGGTGTTATAGATGGTTGTTAGCTACCATGTGGGTGCTAGGAACCAAGCCAGGGTCCTTTGCAAGATTAACTGCTGAGGCATCTCTCCCGCCACCATTGTCATTTTAATAAACCAGGAGATAATAACATCAGCATATCAGCATATCTCTATAATTTTATGGCACAGAAATTCAAATGTGTCTCTTTTTGATACTGTTATTAATATTTTTAATGTGTATTACTACACACCAAGGATGACTAGGTAAAAAAGAACAAAAATTATTAGATCTTGAAAAGCATAATAAATCCATCCATTTGTCAGAATAAGCAATGTTTAGACAATAGACAAATAAATAACTAATGTATATACTTTCCTCAGAACGTTCTCTAACATCAACTAAAAATAGATTGTCCATTGATGCTTAATCTAAGGATGATTTGTTTCATTTATTTTCATTTCATTACCCATGAGTTAAATCTGTTGCTGGTCTCAGAATAAATAGTTCCATCAACTCACAAATATGCTAGGAACATTGAATTGATTTGGTTTCTGAAAATGAACAATTCATGAAGATAGCAGTAGGTCAGTCCAAATCTAGGAAGAAAAGAGAATTTTAATTAGAAATGGTATGTTCAGTGGCAGGTAAAGGCACTGACTCCCACAGGTTGTCCTCTGTCTGGTTTCCACATGCATGCATGCATGCTTATGTATACACATTCTCTCTCTCTCTCTCTCTCTCTCTCTCTCTCTCCCCTCCCTCTTTCTCTCACACACACAAATAAATAATAAATAAATAACTGTAATAAAAAAGAAATGGTATGTTCTATTACTCTGTCACATTCGTTAGCATTTATATCCTTGTACTTTATTAATGAAGATCCTAACTATTTCTCCAAAGTTCCCCCAAGTGTTGCTGGTGCTGAAGTTCCAAGTGAAGTCAGTGTCCTTCTAGGGGAAAATGTTGAGCTGGTCTGCAATGCAGATGGCATTCCTACCCCACATATTCAGTGGCTTAGAGATGGAAAGCCTGTAATTAATGGTGAAACAGAAAGAGTTAGGTAAGTTTAAAACAAATCTTTGCATTATGTTATAAGATCTTCCACAGTGTTCTATGTTTCAGATTTCACATGAATAACACCAGCTTCCATCTCATTGGAACTTAGCTATCCTTATATTTACAAAGATAAAAGATAAAATTTTGGAGACCTGAGCATATAAATTCTCTTTAGACAACACTCAAAAGTTTATTGTATCTCTGTGGTTGTGTGTGCATGTGTGTGTGTGTGTGGAGAGAGAGAGAGAGAGAGAGAAGAGAGAGAGAGAGAGAGAGAGAGAGAGAGAGAGAGAGAGACTCTTAGACCCTTACTTATTCATCAACTTTGTATTATAAAATATTAGACACTCCTTTGTCAAAATTTTATGCAACTATTTATTGATTATATTCCTCCAATTTCATAATGTCCATACCAAGTCCATGTTGTAAAATAATTGGTACTTCTTCCCTATTAAAATGAAACTAACTTCATACCACAAGAGTTATCGATAATCCTATCTATGGTGTTTTTTATCCTGAAACCATCAAAATGCATACATGCCAGACTGCTTGACTCATTTTAGAAAAAAGATAAACTAGCATAATCCTGTTCATTCCTTATAATGATTTGCCCAAATCCCAATTTCAGCTGATATTGGTTTCCTTGCCACAGAGATGAACATCCATGTGACAAGGGCTTCTTTAACATTGTGCTACTTTAACAAAGTCTTTGAGATAGACAACCCAGAATCTCATAAAGATTATTTCACCACAAGCCCCTTACACACATATAATGTCCATGCATAGAAGGGCATTAGTTAATATACCGTTAAATTTATCATTTAGCCAATAAATTTAATAGTTTGAGTATACTTTCTAGCCAATGAATTGAATATATATAATTTGAAAATGATAAATACAAGTTTTTTGTGTTCCATATTAAAATGTAGGCATTTTATCCCCTTTATAAAATTGGCTAAATTACCAAATAATATTTTTTATATTTTCTATTTATTTTTTTTTTGTGTGTGTGTGTGTGTGTATGTAAGTGTATTGCTTACATGGGTGTTAGTGTGCCCATGTTGTGCAATGCCCACAGAAGTCAGAAGAGGGCATCAGATTCTCCTAGAACTGAAGTTATGGACGGTTGTTAGCTGCCATGTGAGTAACGGGAATCATACCCGGGTCCTCTGCAAGATCAGCCAGTGCTTTTAACCACTGAGCCATCTCTCCAGCCCCCAAATAATATTTTTGAGAATTATTAGACATTTGTTTCTTTTGTATGAACATATATGAATGATTAACTCGTGTTCACTTATTTTAGTAAGTGGATATTGGCCACATTTCAGAGCTGATCGGACCTAAAGATATTATGTTTGTATCCCATAAGTGGGTGTTCTTCATTCCTCTTACATTACTATCTGAAATCTGCTTCTTGTTATCTACACTTTGTGGAAGAGTTAGTGACTGCTCCACTGTGTGTGTGTGTGTAGAACAATTTATCAGTCAAATTAACTTTTTCAAAGTCAGCTTAGTAACTTTGTGTGTAGTAACTTGCTTTTTTACTTTATAATAAAGCAAAATTCATGGAATTTTAAATTCACATTTTGAAAAAAGTGCAGTTACCTCCAGATAATATTGTATTTCAATATCAATGTCAAATGTTTAATGGTATGATACATTAGAAGTCCACAATAGGAGCCACTAATGAGGTCACAATTCTTAGAGTAATTATAAAAATATTTAACCTCTTCTTAAGACATAGGAAGCTCAGTTTGGTAATTAATGCTATGTGGAGAAAACTGCTAGTAAATATGAAATAGTTTTCTTGTATTTGATCATCTAATTTTATATATTCATTTACTGTTACATGATTTAAAAGCCTTAGTCTCTTTTAGAAAAAAGTACTCAAAGCACATCCATATATGTACAGAGTTGTCACAATAATCCTCTTTTGTTCCTTCTCATTAAGGCATTATTAGAGTATTTACAGTGAAGGTTTTTTGTGTGAAATTTCTTCAGTTTGTCATGGTCTTCAGTCTTCATACCAGAATTTTGTATAATTTTCATTTCACTTGATAACTTAATGCTAACCAGCAGTAGAACATTCTAACTGAGCAAAAGATGTCCCTGCCTGTGATTTGGACAGGCAGTTCCTGACCTGATTATGCTCGTTCCCTTTTTCTAATGAGGAGACTGTGGACTTGAAACCCGTTTCTGTATTTTAGTTTCCTGAAATCTCCATCAATTTCTGGAGCTCTGGCGTTTATATGTTTCCATATATGTGTAAAATAGATTCGAGTCGTTACTTTAAAGATGAAGGCATTGCTTGATAAATTTTTTTTGGCTTTTTTTTTTTTTTTCAATCTTTTTGAGACCGGGTCTCCCTGTAGCCCCAGCTGGCCTGGAACTCACTATGGCGACCAGTCTAGCCTTAAACTCACAGAGATCTGCCTGCCTCTGTCTCCCGAGTGCTGAGACTAAAGCTGTGCGCCACCACGCCCGGTCATAAATGATATTTTTTTAAAGAACACAATGAAGTGAATGAGTTTTCCAGGCCTCATCTCCACATTAATCTTCTCCGTGCCTCTGCTATGATCTTTTCTATAGGGTGACTAAACACGGCAGCACATTAAATATTTATGGAGCTCTCACTTCTGATGTGGGGAAGTACACGTGTGTCGCAACTAATCCTGCTGGAGAAGAGGACCGAATATTTAACTTGAATGTGTTTGGTAAATATGAAATGCCTCCAAGTTTTGACTTTGCTCCCCTAAGAATCTATTAGTAGGCCACAGGTATCTGGAGCATTTAGTTTAAATCGAATCCCAAGGTCATTTCCTTTTAGGATCAACAGAAGTAGAAGCAATTATGGTGGAGATGCTTTGAACTCATGATCTCCTTTTCTCCCCGCGCCCCTTCCCCATATAACACAGTTCCACCTAAAATTAGAGGGAATAAAGAAGAAGCAGAGAAACTGATGGCTCTGGTAGACATGTCAGTAAATATTGAGTGCAAAGCCACGGGAACACCTCCGCCACAGATCAGCTGGCTCAAGAACGGCCTTCCCCTGCCCCTCTCCTCCCACGTTCGCTTGCTGTCAGGAGGGCAGGCTGTCAGGTGAGGTTTCATCGTGTGTCACATGCTAAACACTGAGCTGTGATTGCCAGCTCTTCCTTCATCTACATCATATTTAAGAAGTGCTTTTCCCTAAGCTTTTACTGTTCTGTCATCACCCCCTTTAGTCAGTGTTCAGAAGAGAGAGATGATAAGGAATGCCACAGTAAAATGGCTCTGCGTTATTTAAATGCTTGTTTTTAGTTTGTAGACACTGGAACTTCGGTAGAGGAATTGTTATCAAATTTATAGTTCCAAGAGCTACTGTTATAACTAAAATGTCACACGGCAGGATAGGAAGGTGTTCACTGTGCTCATAAGATGCTCGTGTTCTGATCACTCTCTGTTAATGCCCATTTGAAAACTAATCAATCCTCAAGTTGTGCTGTATTTTCAGTCCGTTGTTGTTACTGCATAATTACCTTTATAGAATCAGTTGCAGTTGAGATGTCTCTATTTTGATGATGGTCACAGACTCCATACTAAAATTTTTCATTGTAAATCGCCTCCAGTAATCTGTTATGAATCATAATTGTTTTATTTGTTGGTGTTGAATTGGATCTATTATGAAATGGTGGACCATGCTTTTCAGGATCGTGAGAGCTCAGGTGGCTGATGTTGCTGTGTATACGTGTGTGGCCTCTAACAGAGCTGGGGTGGATAGCAAGCACTACAGCCTTCAAGTGTCTGGTATGTCACAGAAATGAACCTACTACTTTGCTTCAAGTCCGGTAGCATTAAGCAATATGCCTACCTTTCAAAACTGATTTCCTCACAGATTTATGACTCTGACTTTTCTCTATCAAAACCAATTGGCAAAAAAAAAAAATCTCACTAAGAAAGATTGTGTTTTCTCCAAAATAATCTGTATTTATTAGGCCACACTGTCAAAATACTCTTCTGATACAGAATTTTGCTCTAAATCAAAAGAATTTTTTGTTTATTAAATTGTTCTTTGATAATTTCACACATGCACATAATTACATGCTGGCCACACTCACCCCACTACCTTTTCTGTCTCCCTACCACCCCTGTCTACCCTTCTCTTCCCTTTAAATCTTTCTTGTGTTCATATCTATTGATTTTATTTTATGACTCACTGAAATTTAACCAGGGTGGTCTGGGACCAGGGGTTTCGAGCTATCCATTGGAGTCTTGGGGGCTCAGCAGTAGGTACACAGCCGAAGATTATGGTTCCTCCTCTCCCAGAATCTTGTCAGTAGGCAATAACAGTCCTATGAGCCCCTCCCGATTCTATGAGTGATTATTCACAGGACCAGACTAATTGTTAACAGGTCCAGTCTTGAGTCAGTCCAGGGCAGGCAATTGCAGTTGTTGTGAGTTCATCATTGCTATGGTTGTATTTAGTCTAGAGGATAGCATTTCACAGCCCTTCACCCTATCTTCTGACTCTTACATGTATTCCATGCCTTCTTCCACAGTGTTCCCTGAGACAGAGCAGCTATGTAAATGTCTTATTTAGGGCTGAGCCCTCAGCTGTCTATTATTCTCAGCATTTGGGGCAGCTCTGAATCTCTGAATTCACCACCACTCACTACAGAGGCTTCTCTGATTAAGACTGAAAGTGACTTTTGTCTGTGGGTATAAACATAGAGATTTAGAGGGCAACTTGATGCTATGTGAATTTAGTTAAACAACAGTAGTAAGTTCCCCACTTGGGTCCATGAACTCCCCAACATGGGTTGTTAATCAGGAATACAGTACTAGTCATGAGTTCCCACTCACAGAGGCATCCTCAAATCCAGCAGAGGGCATTTGTTTATTGCCACAATAGTTGTGCCACTATTGCACAGATGGGCACATCTTGCTCAGCCGGTTTGGTTTTGGGTTTCTAGGGTTCACCGGTGAGTAAGACAGTGGGTACCTTTTCTCCCTCAGAAGCCTGCATAGCACTCTCTAGTGCTTGGAAAGCTAGCCAGCCCAGCTCCGACTTACTTTCCGTATATCTTGCAACCAAGGCATATGCTGTCTTCAGCAACAGGGTCTAGGAATTTAGTGACCTGCTGCTTCTAGCAGCAGCATTATCTAGTTGTGCAAGGAAATTCTCTTTGATTCTTTCTCTTTCATATTACTGATTTGGGCTATAAGTTAGTAAGTTTCCATGTGGCTTTTTCATACATCCTTTGTTCTGGTTAATCTCTTCAGGAACCTCATCTCCCCAGTCTCCCTACCTTCCTTCCAGCCCAAACCTTACCACTCCCAACATTCCCCCATTTACTTTCCTTTTATGTATGTTCTACTATCCACAGTCCCCCTTAAGGCAACCCTTACCCCATGTTCCTTTGCTAGTTTCCTGGCTTCCACAGGTTCTCCATACTAAACAGTACCTAAGTTTTTAAAATATCATTTCATACAAACAAAAAAATCAAGTCTGTTTTCTAACAATATTAGCAATTCATTTAAGGTATTTAAGATACATGTGCATATATGTAACTCTATTTAGTATAATAGAATCAAAACGTTTCATTTATAAAATACTGAGGTTTACTAATCCACATTTCTCAATCTGTAATAACATCTCAGAGCAATAAAGTAAGTAGGTAGTATACTTTATATTAGTGTATGTAAAATTTAACTCTATAACTTGAGATTACTCTATTCTCCATAAAATCATTGAAAATATACAATTGGAATTATTATAACAAGTAGTATGATGTAATAAATTAAAGAGACACAAATGTAACAAGTTGAAAATATTGCCAAACTCTAGCACAGATTGATTGTAGATTCAATAAGAAAAAGATTTTAAGATTCCCTCACTAGTCTTTGGAAGATTCATAATTAGAATAACTAATGAATATGTTTATAGTAAACTCAGCAATTTATAATGTGCTACTTTAAAACGTATCTTTTATTAACTGCATAAATACTATAGAATTGTTTAAATATTGTTGCTTAAGTTCACCTCAAATTACAATAGATATATAAATTTTACCTGATTTATTTTCTGTATAGTGCCACCAAATATGGACAATGCAATGGGAACAGAGGAAATCACCATTGTCAGAGGCAGTTCGACTTCTATGGCGTGCTTTACAGATGGAACCCCAACTCCTAGTATGTCCTGGCTCAGGGATGGCCAGCCTCTGGGGTTTGATGCCCATCTGACCATCAACACTCAAGGAATGGTCCTTCAGCTTATCAAAGCAAAGACTGAAGATTCCGGAAGGTACACATGCGTTGCCTCAAATGATGCTGGAGAAGTCAGCAAGCACTTTGTCCTGAAAGTCCTAGGTACATAATCTTTCTGATAATTACAGAATATTTGGGAAGTCAGTGGCAGTGAAGGTTTAGTAAATGATTCTTATATATTAAGGGACAAAACATATGAAAACTTTATTGTATTTCTATTACTGTTTTATAATTCACCTAGTTTTATTTTCATCTGAAACAAGTTGAACTTAAATTATTTCTAAGAAATTACTCATTGAAAAAGTATGATAACAAGTTAACATCTGACACTGTATGTGTGGTATGTGTACGTGTGTGCATTTACATATATATGGACACACATAGGTGTGCAGGTACACATGTATGCATGAAGTTGATGTCAGGTGTTTCCCTCATTTGCTCTCTACTTTTTAAAAAGTATTTTTATTTTATGTGTATGAGTGTTTTGTCTATAGGTATTTAAGTCTACTGGTGCATGCAGTGCCTGAGGAGTCCAGAAGAGGGTATAAGATCCCCTGAAACTGGAACTACAGATGGTTGTTGACGCCCTGTAGGTGCTGAGAACCAAACCCAGGTCCTCTGCAAGAGCCACCAGCTTTTAATCTGGGTCCTCTGCATGAATAGCCAGTGTTCTCTAAAAAATTTTTTTATTTATTTTTATGCATATGTATGTATTGCCTGCATGTATATAAGCACACCCCTGTCATGCAATGCTTTCAGCGGTCAGAAGAGGGTGTCAGGTCTCCTGGAACTAGAGTTATGGACAGTTGTCAGCCACTATGTGGGTGCTGGGAACCAAACCTGGGTCCTCTGCAAGAACAGCAAGTACTCTTTAACCACTGAGCCATCTCTCCAGCCCTTTTTTTTTTTTTTGAAGAAGAATCTCTTTCTGTACCTAGAGATCATTCATTCTGCTAGTGTAGATAGCCAACTTGCTCCAGTTGATCCCAGACAGGGATCCCTGTCTCTGCCTCCAAAGGGCTGGGGTTACAGATGGCTGGCATACCTGCCTGGCTTCTACATGGGTTCTGTGGGTCCTAACTCCAGTCCTCATGCATCTGAAGCAAGAGCTTTATCCATTGCACTGCCTTCTTAGCCTCTAATATCTGCCTTCTTAATTTTTTCCAAGAATTTAAAACACATTTGGTAACAGAAATTTGATTTAAAAATAATCAAAAAAGTCTTAAATAATATACTCTAAAGATTAATTATAACAGTCATTTCCAATAGCCTAGTTTTGTTTGCTCTTGTGTACATTTAAAATAAATATTTAAAATATATATTCCAACATTTTACATGCAAAAAATAGCATAAAGAGAAATCTCAGTTTTTTCTTGCACCAAAAATTTTGACTTTGAACAGAAAAAGAAGAAAAGTGAAATGAGCTATTACAATAGCCGAAGATTTGGGAGTTCCTTTTCCTCTGGTGTGATATAGTGGAAACCCATACTCTTTGAACAGTGCAGCTATGCACCCTACTTAGAAGAATAAAAAGAACTTTAAAAATCATTTTTATTGAGAGTGTCACACAATGTATTTTGATCATATTCAGATCTCCTACCCCCATCTCTACCCCCACCTTACTGACCTCCTGCACGCCCACTGACTTCATGTCCTCTATTATTTTTTAGGGGCCTATCAAGTCTAATTTGTGTTCTCCAAATGCTCTTGGGTGAAAGGAATTTTGGCATGAGTCTTGGTTAGGAAGGGCTAGCATATGTTTTCAGAGTGCTCTGTAATCTTTCTCAAAGCACCTATTAAAATTCAATTATTTATATGACTTTAGAAGTTGGCTTCTTTCCTAGTTAAGTTTTATGATGGTAAAGGCAGCATGCATCTTACTTATTGCTGATGTCCAGTGCTTAGTATGATAGCGGACACACCAGCAGTTCTTAGTATGTGTTTGTTGGATTGAGCTGAAACTGAACTAGATAATTCTGAGTTGTACTAATGGAAGTTTAAACTGGAGAGGGAGCCAGAACTATATGTAAATAGACCAAATGAGATACTGTGGTATAACTCAGTCTTCAGAAAGGGAAAGATGATGGTGAAGGCGATTTCCCAGACTATTTAGAGGCAGACAAAACAAAACATGCTTTTGGGAAGGGTATGTTAAAAGATGAGTAGGGTACAAATCCCTACACACCCTACATATCAGTTCATACCATGTGAGTAGCAATAGATGATATGATGTGACCTTGTTCTTCACTGCTCATATATTGTCAACTGTTGAATGTATGCTCTGAGTTGGGTATGTTTCTAGCCATCAATGAACAAATAATTACGAATGTCTATGTGATCCATTGTGTGGCAGCACATAATAACACAGAATAAGAAAGAAGGATGAGGGTTCAGCCCTCAAGTTCTTACATCTGAGGGCAAGGGAGCAAAGAAACTAAAGAAATAATCTTTTGGGGGTAGGGCTGAGGGTCATACAATTAACATAACACGACATTGTGTGGCACGTAAGCTCTAGATTAGATCTCCTCCTGCACAGATCAATCTGAGCCTGGAATGCTGGGACTGTAGAGGTAAGAGAGAGCTGAAGACTTTGCCTCCGCTCTCCTCTAGGGGTAACAGAGCTTAGTTGTCAGTTTGTACTTGCGGAAACCTCATGTGAGTGGGAGAGATGAGACTAAACAGGGAGAAGGCATCCGTGAAGGGTCTTGACAACATTCTAAGGAGTTCAGACCTCATTAAAAGACAAGAAGAATTTAAGCAGGAATATGTTACAACCAAGGTTTCTCTTCCAAAACATCCCTCTCTGGTGAGAGTGAAGAATGGATTGAAGAAGGTACTGTGCTCATAAAAGCCTGAAAATGCAAGGATTTTGTCTTGTATGTGCTAGTGAAGAGAGAGAGGTACAACATTCTATTCCTGTAGGGTTTCAAAGAATCCAGAAGCAAAATCATATAGACAGATGTGTTGCTGAAGCAAATGAAAGAGAAAAGCAATAATGATACTGTTAGGGTGATGTATGAAGACCAGCCCTCCAGGATGAAGAGTTTATAAGATAACACTTCTTTGAAACAGTATTGAAAACTGCCTCAGCAGAAAGATGAGAAGTTTCAGCATTTCAGCATCTGCTGAAAATTAATTCCATTAAACTCTGAAAAGTTCCTTATGTGGAGCCCTGCTACTATTCAGGATGCAAATGTCCCAGCATGAGGAGCTTAATTCTATACACGTGGTGGGAGGTGTTAGGTATATTAGAGTTTTGAAAAAGTACAATGTGGGTAGGACACTGAAAGCAGAAAGAACATCAAACACTGAAACTGTGAGAGTTTAGCTGGGCCTAGACCATCATGAGCAATTTTGAAGTTCACGGGTTAGTATACCTCTCAACCCTCATCAGAGAAGCTGCTTCTTGCAGCAGATGGTGATTAATGCAGAGACCCACAACTGGGAAACGTGCAGAAAATATGAGACTGTGGAGTGCCCAGCTCCAAACAGGAAACCGGTGTTACTCTTCCCCATGAGACTCAAGGATCATCTCAGAAGAAGGGCAGAAAGAGCTAGCAAAACCAGCGTTTGCCACACATGACAGAACCCTTCGCACAGACGAGCTCCCAATGGTTGTGACTATATACATAAGGCTTATACAAGAGCCATCCAACCCAAACCCTAGCACAGGTGGGGGAGGGGCTCATGAAATCCCACTCCTAGTTAAGGAGCTGTTGGTGATTGATGGCTGCAAGATGAAGCAGAGCCAATTTTCTTTCCACACACATATAGGCAGCACTACGTAGACTCCGTGGACTTAAAAACAGAGCACATGAAGTTTTTGGAGGGGAAAAATGGGGGAGGGGTGGGATAGAGAGGTATTGGAGGGAGAAAATGGAAGTGAATCTGAGAAAAACACATTATATGTAATTATGAAACAATGATAGAATAATAATAATAATAATAGTAATAATAATAATAGAAAAATAAAATAAAATAAAGTGTGTATGTTAATCCTGAAAAAGAAATTCTGTTTTTATCCTCTAAAAATGAGAAATCATTACAAATTCTAGTAAGCACAATGGCACAATAGATCTTCACCTTTTAAAGACTGGCCTGGCTATAAACAGAAAACCCATTAGAGTAACTCAAGAATGGATTCAGAAAATCCAGTGTGTTAAGAATTATATCGACTGTTAAAAACAGTGTGGCTACGGTGGCTTCAGTGAAGAACTGGGTTTTTCTCTCTCTTCACTGAAACATGTCCGACCAAGCTGTTCTTTTTCAAGCCTGCTTGAATACAACAGCTTCTTTAATTCAGTCTTCATTCCGTCACTAGAAGGATTTTTTAAAATTAAATCTAGTTGTAGCATTTTACAGCTTAATATTTGCCTTGCCTTTTAATGAGGTCTTAACTTGTTTCTGTGATTCAGGGGTTGAATCCAGGGTCTTGTGCATGTCAGGCAGCACTCTGTCATTGAGTGATATCCTCAACCCTAAGAATATTTGTTTTTCTCATTATTGACATGGTTAGTGGTGGGCATTGTTGCACTGACTGGGCAGTTCAAATGTTTGCAGTTCTCTTGGCCTTTATATCATGACCAATGAAGGTCTGCTCACCTGCAGCAGAATTTAGAACTAGAGCAGAAGTAGGAAAGGCCTATCTTAAGAAATTGCCTCTTAGGGCTGGAGAGAAGGCTAGCAGTTAAGAACACTGGCTGCTCTTGCAGAGGACCTGGGTTCAGTTACCAGAGCCCAGATGGTGGCTAACCATCCATAACTCCAATTCTGGGGGATCTGATGCCCTCTTCTGGCCTCTGCAGGTTTTGCACAACATGGGTGCACTTACATACTTGTAGGCAAAACACCTCATACATATAAAATAAAAATAAATTATTTTTTTTAAAAAAAGAAGTTCTACATACCATTCCATTTAATATCTTCTAAAGAGGTTAAGAAATAAAAACTTTTAGTGTATTTCTAACCATAAGAAAAGTTGGGCCATTTAATAAACATAGCTGAGTAATACTAGGTAAATAAATGGAACCTCTGTATTACACCCTTTCCCCTCAAGGCCTTGGGAACATTATGGAGGAGAAGAATGAAAGAATCTAAGACTCAGAGGTCAGGGAGGACTGGAATGAAGCAGTATCTTCTGGGCATGACAGGGTCATCACACTCGTGATCACAGCAGCGGTGATGGCCTGCCCAAGATCTGAACAAGATTAAGTCAATCAACTTTCCAGTACAGATGTGGGAAAATGTATGAGCCCCTGCCCTTAACTGAGGAGCTATTGACAATTGATGGCTACTAGGGAAGGGAGAGTCAGTTTTCTTTTAGGATATTGTCTCTGGCAAATTGACCATGCTTCAGTGGTGGGCCCATCCCCATGCATCTATTAGCAGTATTAATTGGACTCAATCCATTATATTAAAAATAAAAGGACATGAAGTTGGGAGAGAGATTTGGGGTGATCTTGGAGGAGTTGGAAGGGGACAGTGGGAGTGAATATTATCAAAATATATAGTATGCATGTATAAAGTTCGCAAATAATAAAAGTTATATTTAAAAAGCCAAGATCACAAAGGATGCACACATGGGCATGTACAACCAGAGAGGAAGCTACATTAGCTCAAATAAACAGTATTGTAATTCAGATTGAAGTGATGGGAGAAGAGGAAAATATGTACTCTGGAAATAATTGCAGATTATTCGGACGTAGTTGTGGATTTGGATACATAGAAGTGACGGCTATGAGGGTGTCAGGGATGAATCTTAGTTTATGAATTATGTGACTAAATGGTTGGTGGGTTCATCAAACAAGTGCAAGGAATACTAGAAATGGACTAGGATTCAAGGAAAAAAACAAGCTCTGTCTGGTTGCAGACTAAATTTGAAGTAATTTTTTTTTTTTTTTTGGTCTTTTTGAAGCAGGGTTTCCCTGTAAGCCCCAGCTGTCCTGAAACTCACTATGTAGACCGGGCTGGCCTCAAACTCACAGAGATCCACCTAATTTTTTAACATCCAAATAGAATTCTTGAATTTAGGACTCAAAACTGAGATCTAGACTGGAAATGTAAATTCTGGAGTCCTCGGGGCTGCCCAAGTATAAGACATGGGCCAAACATAGAGTGAAATTGTTCACCTACACCTAAAACATGAAGCACCTGGAGGCTTGACTTTGAACGAGTAGGACCCATGCTGCTAGTGCTGCTTCTGTTGTCAACCGAGTGACTCTAAACTACGGAGGGGGAAAGTAATTCCTAATTAATTTTTGTATCTACATGCATACAGTGACTTGTATGTGGCAAATAATAATTAACTATAGTCAAATGGAGAGCCAAATCAGTGCTTTCATGCAGTACAAGCAGCATGCGATGAAAATGAGGTTAGACACTGTACAGCTAGGTAAAAGAATCAAAAAAGGACCTGAGTTTTACAAAGAAGTTTCATGACATTCATGTAACCTTGATGCTCCTTTAATATGCTCAGCTAGGGAGTGGCATTGACTGTGAAAAACAATAAAGGACGGGACTTGTTGAAGGACAGAAGTATCCTAGTTTGGAATCTAGGTCATATAGAAGTATATTAAAAGTAAATGATGTTGCAATGATAGATTAGGACCACTTGGACTCTTTGGAAACTGTGATTTTAATTCAATAAACAATAATGGAGCTATTATAATCTTTACATCAGGAAACCATAGATTAGTCTTAAAATGCACTTAAAATGTTTATTTTGACACCAGCATGTCAAATGGGTTGAAGTATACAAGAGGTACTGTGGAATATTTATTAAGACGTGTAGACTTTTTAACTGTATTCTAAGAAGAGAACAGATTTATTGTGTTATCTTTTCTCAAATAGGAAAATGAGACCTAAAAAAAATTTCAAGAAGCAGATTTCAGCAATAATTCCAACTGTTATACTAGATGTTGTAATAACTTTTGAATCTTTTAACTTAAAACAGATGTAGAAGTTCAAAAGAAATGTGAAGTGTTTGAATCCTAATTATCATATTAGGTAAATCATGATTTTGAAGATTTGTTCAGTTCCACTAAACTAATAACCATTGGTGCCAGATTCAAATTCAGTCTGATTGCAGATCCTGTGTTATGAGTCAGATTCTAAACTATGTGCCTGACTTCACACAAAAACAAAAACAAAACAAAACCCCTCGGCTAACCCTTGGAGCTGTCCAACATCTGTTTTGACTGCCTTGTGAAATACTAAGCTGAAAGTTTGAACTACGAATTCTTCCTTGAAAATGTAAAAAAACATTGTAAGAAGAATTTAATTCTAAAAGAATTAAATTTGGGGGGTAGTTTGGCCAAGGATCCTTATTATTTATTCCTAGTGTTCTCTGGGGGAAGGTAATTTTAGAAGTATATATAACAAAACAGAAAACTACTCCTACCTAAATATAACAAATGCATTATGTACAGAAATCACCATCTCCAGTGTTTTCAAATAGTGTTAGTGATAAGAACTAATAACATCTGGTAGTGATCATTTTCAGTTCTGTATTCTAATTATTTTACATCATATGAATATAAATTTGAATTGAAATTTCTTTGCAAACTTTTCTAATCAGCAATATCTTATCAAGCAGAACATTTATTTTCATGTCTTTGATTCCATTTAAATAGAACCACCTCACATCAACGGGTCTGAAGAACCTGGGGAGATTTCAGTAATTGTTAATAACCCACTTGAACTTTCCTGCATTGCTTCTGGAATCCCTGCCCCTAAAATTTCCTGGATGAAAGATGGCCGGCCTTTTCTCCAGACAGATCAAGTGCAGACCTTAGAAGGAGAAGCAGTTCTTCGAATTTCTAGTGCTCAGGCAAGTGTCAAAGTTCATACAGCTATTTTATCCTAGCTTGAACTTCTTACTTGCTAATATATGAGAATTATTAAGTATATTACATCTTTGCATTTGAATCTACCACAGATCCTTACAATTTTCCATGGGTAGATGTCTTCTATAATATATATGATTGAGTGGAAACTAGGAGGAGGAAAATGAAGTATCTAATAACAAATTTTGAAGAAAACAAGGCGCCTTCCCATTAACTTAAGCACGTTTTCACGCTCTGAGTGTTAGTATGCTTCCTGACACTCTTGACTATTGCTGTATAGTTCTCTAACTAGCCAGCAGGAAGCAATCCAACATACATTTATATGAGGCCTCGGAGAGCACTTTTGATCTCCAAAATGAACTAATAGAGTGGAAATCTGAAGAATGATCTCAAGCATGATCAGGTTCAGTGAAATGGACTGATTCTTCCAGTTTATGTTTAAAGAAACTCGTCTACAGTATGACCTTGTTGAATAGAAGCGTACCTGGACACCTTGTTACAAACATTTTCTCATATTAGCTAAAGGCAAACTTTATGTTACAAAGATTATTCATCAGTAACCTCATTTGTAATTTGATATGCATATTGGGCATCCAAAGAGATGATGAAACATAAATTTCTTATATTGGTGTCATAGAAAAATACTAAATAACAACAAAAATAGAGTTATACAAATAAAACAACAAAACAAACAAAACAACAAAAATAGAAAATGGAATTCTTGCTACCACTATTATAATCATTCTTGTGAACATAGAATAACAAATTATTTAATTATATTTTTGTATTTTTACTGAGAAAAAAATAAAAGTAAACTGGAAAAAGAAGTGCAGATTTGGAGGTATCCACTATTGACGCTGTGTTCAGTTTAGGGCTGTCTGTTGTGCCCTTGATACTCTTGATGACTCTGCCAAGAAGTATCTTTATTCCCAGTCTACAAATAGAAAGAGGCACAGAGACTCACCACAGTAATGGAGCCAGTAGATCTCAGCACAGTTTACTTTTAGTATCATGGAACACAGACTTGCTTTCTTTTCCCTTCATTTCAAGCATTGCAGTAATCCAGAGATATCATGTTAAACTGTCAAATCATGCACCGTCAAAATCCTTCAAGAGCCTTCTCTCCTTTTCGAGGAAATAAAAGTCATGCAAGATACCATTTGATGTGAAATAACAAAGCCACTGAAAACAGCAATGAGTTGGAAAATGAAAGATGACCAAGTCTCGGGACCGGCCTTGGCTCTACTACTGCTGTCCTCTTGTCCTGGCGTTTTGTACAGCCTCTGCTACGGCACTTACTGCATTAGATTTTACTTATATCAGTGTCATCTTTTGGTGTATCCTGGGCCATATATCATTAAGCCTAGCACACAATATCACTATGCCTAGTACATAATGGATGCTTTGTAAATTCCAAATTGAATGGTACAAATATGGAATATCTTCCATCAAAAACTAAGTCTGTGACTTGCTCCAAGGCAGAGAGCAGGGTGGGATATGTCCATTCCATCACCTAACACCTAGAAAGCTTCATTAGGATACCTTCTCCTCCTTTCTGACCTATAGCACATCTCAACAACTCTGCAATATCTAAATGCATCTAGTAAACTGTAATTTTTCAAACTTGTTATTAGAGACTGTAACTACAAATAGTGATTCTGGATACCCAGAAGGAAATAAGTGTTCAGAAAATATTTCCTGATGGAAGCAAAATTTGAGTAGCCTCAAATGATATTCAAGTTTGGCAAGTGCAGGGGACAATATCAATCTGGAGTCAAGAGTTAATATAGAAGAGTTAGAGGGTTTCAAGATATAAGAAATTCAAAAGTTATCTAGGAAATGATGTGTGTTATATAACTTGTTGGTGTATGTGTACAAGTACTTGTGCATGTCTGTGCACATGTGTGTATGTGTATGTGCATGTGGAAGCCAGAGGTTCACACTGGATATCTTTATTCAATCCCTCTCCACTTTTATTTTTTTCTCTTACTGAAACTGAAACTCATCAGTCTGGCTAAACTGGCTGGCCAGTGAGCTTCAGATATCTCCTTGTCTCTGCCTGCACTCCTTAGCATGGGGTGTACAAGCAGGCATCATTGTGCCTAGAGTTTTACATGAGCTCTGGGGGTCTCTCTCTCTCTGTCTTATGTCTATGTAGTGCAGATGCACATGTCTGTGCATGAGTGTGTAGATACCAGTCACTTGCACACTAGTCACTCTCCACCTCCATCGCCTTGAGACAGGATCTCTCACTAAACCAGAAGTTTGTTCACCTGGATGCCATCTAGCTCCCAGGATCCTTGCCTCTACTGAGATTACAGGCATGTATGTGCAGCCATGCCTGGTTTCTCATGTGGGTGCTGGGTATTTGAACTCATATCCCCATGCCGTCCCAGCCAGTGCTCTTACCCACTGAGCCATCTCCCCAGACCCTCATTTTCTAATTCATGATCAAAGGCCTGTCCAAAATATATTTTAACTGCTTTTCCAAATACTCTAGTCTTAAATTTTTTTTCCAAAGGAACTTTTACAGTCTACCAAGGATCTTTTCCATAACTTATAAAGTTAATTTTGAAGGTAAAAAATTTTTAAAACCCTACTGGGTGTTGTGGTACTTGCCTTTAATTCCAGCACTTGGGAGGGAGAGGCAGACAGATCTCTAAGGGATCAGGGCCAGCCTGGTCTATATAGTGAGTTCTAGGCCAGCTGTGACTACAGAGAGACCTTGTCTCAAAAAAGACTAAAAACGTTTTTTTTTATCTTAATATTCTAGGAATGTTCAAGTAGTAAAATAAGTGAGACAGGGCTTTCTTACTTTTTAAAACTGCATTTTCCACAATAGTAAGGTCGCCTGTTTACCACCATAATGTCTCCAGGCCTGGTATCTACACAATGTCAAGCACATAGATGAAGACCAACTTCCAGAAGAAGCTGGGCATGGGGATTTTCAAAGAACTAGCCTGGGTTTTAGTCAAATAGATTCTGTTTTCAGTCTGACACTATATATAACCAAACAATAGTATATCATCATGTACCTCAAAGAAGATGTTTTGTTTATATGTTGATTTAATAATCAGACTTTATTTTCTTCAGAAAGAATATAATTGAAACTTATGGTCTGTAACTTAAACCCATAAGCATTTATTCCTTCAATAAATATTGTACACCTACTATTTTATGTTTGGTTCTAGGTCTTTTATATACGTACACAGACATACATGCCTCTATATATCTACATTTTCTGATCATCTTAGACCAATTTCTGAAATCCTTTTAAAGGTAATTTTGAACTAACAGACATGCCAGTCAATGCACAGGATCAGGATATTTGTCATAAGTATTAAACAGTCTGTTTCAACTCTGATGCTTCCTTCATGTTATTTTGCCTCTTATGGTATTTTACATTCATTCTAGTGGATATTTATTCTCGTCACCAACACCAGCATGTTAACACTGTATAATTTACTTATTTGGGTTTTGTAGGTGGAGGATACAGGAAGATATACCTGTCTGGCATCCAGTCCTGCAGGGGATGATGATAAAGAATATTTAGTGAGAGTGCATGGTAAATCTTGCAAGAAGTCCTGTATTTGATCCACATACACACATAATTAGGAACTGTATTGGAGATCAGGCAATTTCACAGCATATCCTATGTCTATAAATTGAAAAATATGTATTTTACAGATTTTATTCTAATAGTTGGCAATTTAAGTACTGCTTGGGGGATAGTTCAGTGGACTTTCTTTTATTTATTTGATTTGTTTCTAGACAACCAAATTGTATTTATTGATTTATAATAAGAGAACATAAATTACAATAGTGAAGAAAATAAAAATAATAGTCTCACCATACAAAAATATAATGTCTTTTCAAGTAAATGTTTTGTTACAAAACTGTGATTATAGCCAGGCACAGTAATGTGTACCTCTAATCCCAGCTCCTAAGGAAGTTAAGGCAGGAGGATTGATTGCTTAAGCCTAGAGTCTGAGACTGGCCTGGGCAACGTAGGGAGACCTGGCTATTAAAAAAAAAAGTGATTGTATAGAACATAGAATTTAAGTTGCTTTTTGTCTCACTTAATGGTATGGTAAACATTCTTGTGTTGATAAATATCTCATAACACCATTTTTAGTGATTGAATATTGTCCTATCTTATTCCCTGTTCTGGAGTACATAGGTAATTTTATATTTTTACCAATATTGACAATGTTGCTAGTATAATCTCGTTATTTTGAGAAACCTTTATAATAAACTCATCTGGTTACAGCAACATTCCTGTACACATGCACATGCTTCTAAGGTTTTGAAAATTACTACCTTAATGTATCCTTGAAAATTTATATCAACTAGGCCCTTTCACATATTACTCTTACATATAAATTGGAAAAGCTCTTCATAAAGAAGTTTGCTTGAAATCTAATAGCCCTTTATTTCATTCTCAGAGCCTAAATTATTAGGCAATGCAAATTTTCTGGAATTCAAGGCCCCCTGCTATCCCCACTCACAATTTAGACCAAATTAATTGAAAATAATCTTACGTATGACTCACACAAACATATATTTGTATTCATCAAGAAAACTGTATCCATTTCAGTCTATTGTGATGGGCAGTTGCTGAGTTGGTAATTTCTAATGTTCAGAGAAAAGAATCACCCAGTGTGGAAGCTGGCCAAAAGAGACTGTGCTTCTGTCCCTATCATCTGCCAAACGGTGATAATGATGGATTAATCTACCATTCATGTATTGGTGGAAGGATTTAATTACAGAATTTATGTGAAAGTGCTAAGTAAGGTTTTAAAAATCCAATTTGCTAATTATCTGTGCCACAAATTAAATGAGTAATATTTCAGATTTATGTTTCTTACTTCATATAGTAAATCTAACATTTGTTAAACACTGAAAGGTCAGGTCAGATTACATACCATTTATGAAATGCCCTTGATCTCTTGTTCTCATGCCTAGTCCCCCCTAATATCGCTGGAACTGGTGAACCCCAGGACTTGACTGTGTTAAGGAACAGACAGGTGACACTAGAATGCAAATCAGATGCAGTACCTCCTCCTGTGATCATGTGGCTCAAAGATGGGGAGCGGTTACAGGTAAATCTGCTTGATTCCACAGATTCATTTTTGAGACAAAAGCAGTTGAGGAGTAGTTGACAAGTAGTCAAAACTAAGCCACATCTGGCTACAAATCACTCAGCACTGAAGAGGCGAGCAAAGGGTCCTTTAGTCAGCTACCTTCTCTTTATAGCCTTTGTGTAGTAGTTGATTTGGGTCAAAAGGCAGATATTTAGACTCATGACCCTTGGAAATTAGTCATGGTTGTGTTTCCTGAAGCATGTTAAATTAAAGTCCAATTTGAAATGCTCATCTTCCTTCACCCAAAAGGCAAGAAACCATTAGGGACTCAAAAGAACTGGTCTGCCAAGCCTCCTGGGAGAACCTGTCACTGAATTTCCCTAGTCTGAATTTGGGCTCAGGAGTGACCCCAAATATCTGCAATATTCCTGAATATGGATTTCTGGGATCAGAATCCTAAAGAACATTTGATAAAAAGTTTCCCACGCTTAGCTAATGTCTGTTGTCAGAGCATCATCCCAGCATCCTTAGCAGACGTTTAGGTCCAGATCAAAGCTAACTCTGAAAGCTTTGATTGTCCTCATACCCACAGTTGCAGACTTCCAGCAAAAGTCCTGAGGAGGGCTGAGATCTGCTTGATTTGAGTCATTTGCCTTGCTTTTCCTTGCTGGACAGGATCATTTTCTGGGGAGGGGAGAGGGGTTGGAGGCACAGTGCCCTTGACTTAACTGAAGTCATTGAACAGTTCAAGGGATTTAGATACTACATTTAAAAAAAAAACTGGTCAGATGGCACTCCTTTGGTTTATTCTGGTTACTTTTGATGTTATAAAATAGCATTTTAGGACTGGAGAGATGGCTCATCAGTTAAGAGCACTTGCTGCTCTTACAGAAGATGTAAGTCCATTCCAAACACCCATGTTGGGCAGCTCACAACTGCCTGTAACTCAAACTCCAGGGGATCTGATGCCCTTACCTGGCTTCTGTTGGTACCCACATCACACATACAAACACACACATATACATAAACAAAAATAACTTTTTAAAAATAAATAAATTAGATAATATTTTATTTCCCTAACATTTTCATGATAAATTTTACTTGCTGAATCCAGGCAACACCTCGAGTAAGAATCCTGTCTGGAGGGAGATACTTGCAAGTTAACAATGCAGACCTAGGAGATACAGCCAATTATACCTGCGTTGCCAGCAATGTTGCAGGAAAGACCACCAGAGAATTTATTCTTAATGTACATGGTAAGAAAAATTGCTTATTGTTTCACAATTTGAAAATTTTACCAAGGGCATTCAAAGAGATGATGCTTTTTCATCAGAGCTATTAAATGAATCTTTATGGTTTTACTATTTGCCTATAAAAGGCAACATATAGGATTTGTATTAGACATATATTGCAAATTAGCTCAAATTGAAAAAGCATAGCTAGAGATACATACTCCTTCATAGGAGAATATATACACATGTACATGTAGTTATTAACAGATCCAAATGTTTTGCATCATTCAGGTAAAAGCGATCATTACACAAAATCTCTGAATGACAAATGACCTATCACTTAGTTTGCCTTTATTGGCGGTGGCTTGAGAACATACCATGTATATACACAGCACTATAATTTTTCTTAAATACTGCCAGATTACTTCAGTTTTCTTAAATATGATCTCTACATATCAAAACTTGCCAAAATTGAGGAGGATGTGTAGATTTTTCTCCCATAATGGTCCCTTTGGATTTTAACACATGAAATTTTATAAGATGCTGGGTGACCCACACAACTAATATCTCTAATACTAAAATTAAAATTCAGTCTTTGTATTCCCACATGAACTTGATGATTAATAAAATGCATGTTCTGAGACTTCCATGATTAATCACAGATGTGCTTTTCATTAAAACGGCCCACTTTCTGTTCTTTATTTAAAGTGAAGTTGTTCCAGTGTTAACATTCTTTGACCATTATTTGGCCAAAGAGAAATAAAAAATATCATCTTTAATTTGCATCAGACCAAAGCTGAGTTTTTTTCAAGCCCCTCTCACAGAGAGCCAGATTTTGTATATTGTATCAGGGATTTAAAAGTCCTCCTCCTCATCTACTCTTTATTTTCAAGCACAGAATGTCTTGAGTAAGACCTCAAACTTGAACTTTAATTCTATTTACACTAACCTAGATTAACATAGACAAAATTAATGACTTGACTTAAAGTTCTCCTTATATGAGTTTTAGTGAAGGCTGTGTTATTTAGTATAACTGGATCTACATGTTTCTTTCTTGTTCAGTTCCTCCAAACATCAAGGGTGGCCTTCAGAGTCTTGTCACCCTCTTAAATAAGTCAGTCGTACTGGAATGTTTTGCTGAAGGTGTGCCAACCCCAAGGATAACATGGAGAAAGGATGGGGCTGTGCTGTCTGGAAGTCATGCAAGGTAACAGTCTGGGAAAAGATGACTACTATAATGAAGACATGAAATGCGAATCTTTAAATCCTTTTCTAATGCATTATTTTGATCTTTGTATGATTATAAAAAGTCTTTTCCTCCTAAGATTAATCTAAATTCTTTTAACAAGCACAGTTTCTGTAGCGATTGTAATCCATCAAGACCATGAGCCTGTTTGCTATACGCTTTTGCATCTCCTTTCCTTCCTTGAGAGCACTGTAAATCCGTGTAACCTGAAACAGAAGACTAGCAGCAGATTTCACTGAGCCTTTAAAATTGATCTGAGTCTCAACATAAATATTCAGAAAGGATTGATTTAGGAGAACTTACCTATGATCTTTCGTATAGATACTCCATCTTGGAAAATGGATTCCTTCATATTCAATCAGCACACATCACAGACACCGGACGCTATTTGTGTATGGCGACCAATGTGGCTGGAACAGATCGTAGGAGAATAGATTTACAAGTCCATGGTAAATATATGTTTTACAAACAACATCTAGACTTTGAGTCAAATGTTTCTTGATAACTGGAACTAGTGAGCTCATGAAGAACTTGACCTCAAAGGCTAGTGAAGCATATTACATTGAATTCTGAAGAGAAAAGACCCAAGTCATCTCCCCACTGTGACTAATATTGCCATAGCACAATTTATGACACTGTATTGTCTTAGCTCTATGGCAAGCTAATATTGACAAATTTCAGATCATCAGAAATATTCCAAAATGACGTGCTGCTTGCTGGGTGTGTTTCCCTTTTATTGTTTCAGTTCCTCCATCCATTGCTATGGGTCCTACCAACATAACCGTCACAGTGAATGTCCAAACAACTCTGGCTTGTGAGGTGACTGGGATACCCAAACCATTAATCACCTGGAGAAAAAATGGGCATGTTCTTAATGTGGATCAAAACCAGAATTCATACAGGTAAGGCTAGTTTATTTTAAATATTTTCTATTTTTGTATTTTATTTATTTATTTATTTATCTATTTATGTGTATGAGTGTTTTGCCTGCATGTATGTAAGTGCAACGTGTGTGCAATTCCCATGGCACAGATAGGCAATTCTTAGTAACAATGTGAGTGCTGGGAATTGAACCCAGGTCCTCTCAAAAAGCAGTCAGGGCTCTTAATCTCTGAACGATCTCTCCACTCCCCAACATTTTCTATTTTAATTCACAATTGTAGATATTTGGGGGTGCTACGTGACACTTCAGTAAATTTACACAATGTACAATGGTTAGATTAGGATAACTGACATATCTGTCACTTTATAGACATGCCATTTCTTGTTGTCAAGAACATTCAAAATCCTCTCTATCAGCTATTTTAAAATGTTCATTAATCACCGTCAGCCATATTCCTGCTATGCAGCTGCACCCCTCTCCATTAACCATCTTTACTACACGTCCTTCCCCCACACCATTCACAAAGATCTGGTAACCAGTATTCTGTTCTTTACTTCTGTTAGCTCAACTTTTTATCTTCAGTGTATAAGGAAAAAAAAGCAGAATTTTTTTCTGTGCCTGACATATTTCACTTAGCATAATATAGTTTAGACAATTTAATTGAAAAGTTCCACCTAACATTGAGAAACCAACATTTTAACTCTGTTAATGGGGGTTTCAAATATATAAAGAGCAAAGGATTAACTTGTTTGTAGAAAATATTTTCCCTAAATATGGAATTCATTTTTTTAATTAAAGGTGCAAATTTTCTGTACACAAGCTTTGTGGGTGACTGTCGTTGGTGAGGTCTGTAGGCTTAGATGTTTATCCAGCTTTATTGGTTTACTGCCATCTGTAATTTTTAAAGCGGAAATGGATAGAAACATCATTTGGCATAGACGGCATACTATTCTGTAAATATCAATGCAAGATTTAGTTGTGAGACAAAAATCAAATTTAATGCCTTGAAATATAATTTAAAAATTTGGCTGCTTGGGTAAGGAGAGAACAGCATTTCCTCTGGTTTGTGCATCCTCCAGTTCTCCTGTCTTAGCTCTCCTGCTGTGGGCTTCCTGCCATAGTTCATAATATGGCAGTGTATGATTTTAAAAACTAAACTCTAAGTCACTGACAATTCCTGATGGCTTAAGTGAGCACCATTTCTCCTCTTTTCTTTTTACAATTTTTTATTTCATTTTTTGAAATTTCATATACTATATCTTGATCATATTTAGACCCCCTCCCCTATTTGCACCCCTCTCATAACCCTCCCTGCCAGATTTCATGCACTCTAACATTTCTGTTAAGGCCTGTTGAGCCAAGTTTGTGTCCCCAAATATCCTTTGGTGTGCATCCATCCATTAGATCTAGTGTCACACCCTTGAAGAAAACCAACTCTCCCTCTCCCAATAGTTATAGGTTGTCAATAGTTCCTCAGCTAAGTTTGGGGCTCTTTACCTATTTGCCCATTTTTCTGCTAGGTTTTTGTCTGACTTGAGCTTGTATGGATCTTACCATTGCTGTAAGTTCATATGAGTAACTTCCTAACTATCTGTAAAACTGTGTATCTTTGTGGTCATCTACACCTCTGGCTCTTACAGCCTTTCCAACCCCTCTTCTGCAATGGTCCCTGAGCCTCGGGTGGCAGAGGTTTGATATAGGTGTCCTATTCAGAGATAAGTACTGTGCAGCCTCTTATTCTCTGCACTTTGGCCAGATATGGCTTTCTGGGTTAATTATCATCTTTTGCAAGAGGAAGCTTCACTGGTCACAGTTCAGAGTTCAGAGATGGATTAATATTCTTTCTGACCCCTGTTGCACTGTGTTCCCTGGGTCTTAGGTATAGAGGTTGCATTGTAGGTGTGTAGCTTAGGGCTGGGCACCTCACAGGCATTTGCTCTCTGCATCTGACCAGTTGTAGAACTTTGTGATAGTCTCCATCTGTTGGAAAAAGAAACATCTTTGGTGAGTGGTGAGAGGTACACTTGTCTGTAAATATAAAGATAGCTATTTAGAACACAGTAATAAGTTACATTGGTCTAGGGATGTGACAAAAGTAAGATTTTCTCTAGAACCCATGTGTGTTTGACTGTGTTTACAATACCACACATGAGTTCCCTCCCATTGAGCAGGCCTTAAGTCCAATGAGAGAGCTGTTGATTATCTCCGAGATAAAAGTGGACTACTGTACCAATACTAATAGTTTGCTGGGCCAGTCATCGCTGTGGTCCGCAGGCTTTACAGCTGGGTTGGACCACTGATTGGTTTTTCTCCCTTTGCAGCTTGCATTGTATCCTCTGATACTATGAGAGCTAGTCTTCAGGGAGGAGGCTTTCAGGTCAGTTCCAGCTAGATTGCTTCAAGTCCTGTTTCGGAAGGGTGGCCTGTTTTCAGCAATAAATTCTGGGAGGCAATCAAGGGCTGTGGCAGAAGCCTGTGTTATTTGGGAAATTTCTTGTACTACCCTGACCAACAACTCAAAGGGAGGTTTCCTCTGCTTAGCACTGTTTTCTTGTTATATAGCCTCCAACTATACATGTGTGCGCATGTGCACACACACACACACACAAAAACACACATGTACGCATTATTCATCTCTCCTCTCTCTCCTATGTATAACCCTATTTCTTCCCCAGAGAAAGTATCCTTCATTTTTCCCATTTCCCTCTTGACAACACCTGTCTCCTACTGCCTGTGTCTCTCAAGCTCCTTCCTCCCCTTTACGCGTATGGTTCCTTTCCATTTTCCTGGCTCCTGCAGTCACATCAGGATATATACTCACATCTGACAAGCTAAGATCCACAAATGAACAAGAGCATATGTCACTTGTTTTTTTTTTTTTTTTTTGAGTCTGTATTAGTTTACTTAGCATAAGTAGCATTTCTTGGACCTCAGTTGAATGCACAGACAGTTTCCCATCACAGGAGTTGCCAGAGTACTAAAAACAAATGCTGGCGTAGGGCTACTTGACAAAAATTAATTCTGATATACAAGAAAGTATGAAATTAGGAATGCTTCCATTGAAAGTCTATCATTTCTGTCTTCCTTACCCTTTTAATTTTTGGCATTAGGCCTCAATGATTTAAAAGTTTATCTTACGTGGAAAATGAATAAAAAAATGTCAAACATGTTTCCATTAACCCAAAACATTTCTTTCTTTTCCTTTTTCCATTTTTCTTGTGTATTTGGTGTACATGTGTGTGTATACATGTATTTGCATGTGGGGGGTATATGTGGGGGATGCACCTACCTCTGAGTGGCTGCATGTGGAGGTCTGAGACTGGTATCAAGAATTTTTCTCCATAGCTCTTCTACCTTATTCATTGAGGCAGGGTCTTTCAGTCAAACCCAGATATACAGATACAGATACAGCTATTCTTTCTAACTAGATTGCTCTGAGTTGCCATATCCACTTGACATTCACTTGGGCTTCTTGGGAACTGAACCCAGTCGTTACATTTGTACAGCAAGTGCTTTAACCATTGAGCCAGCTCATTAGCCCCAAACCAATCCATTTCTACTCCAGCATTTCACAGTTAGAAAAACAGATACTTTAATTTAAACTTACTTTAAGTCATGTTTGTGTATTTATTAAGGCTACTAAACATTTGAAGTAATCTATACCATTTTAATTTTTAATTAGAGTTTAAAAAAAAGGTGGCTGAGATATTTATAGATATGCATACTATGTATGCTAAATATACACAGTACATATATCCGATGGGCATATACTATTTGTGCATATAAATATGTGTATGGGTATATCAACACATATACATGGTGCTTCTCTAAGTAGCCATGACATATAAGGAGGGATGTAAAGTAAAGAGTGAATCAGATAGATCTCTACTTGCCCATGTGTCATAGAAGTAATCAGATAACCACCAGCAAGTGTACTGACAAATTTTTCAGATATTTTATGTGAAGCATTTCAGATGGTGCCAAAGGAAATATTATTTTAAAAGTGGCCATCAGAGGCTAGAGAGATGGCTCAGTGATTAAGAACACTTGCTGTTCTTGCATGGACCTGGATTCAGTTTTCAGCATGGCAGCTAACAATCATCAGTTGCTACAATTCCAGATGATCTGACGCCCTCTTCTGGCCTCCACAGGCATTGCATGCACATGGGGCTCTTGACACATGCAGGCAAAATACTCGCACATAATTTTTTTTTAATTTTAAGTGGCTAGCAATATACTATGTCTACTAGGAGAGAAAGTTTGATCTGAATATATGGATTCAGAAAATGCAGGGTTCAATCTTCAGGCACCCCTTCAGTCAGCAACTTCTCATCAATATCATGTGTAGAGCCTTTGCCATATAGTTAAATTTTGATATGCAAAATTTGCATCACATAAACGATGTTAAAGTGAAGGAGGAGCTGTGTCTCCCTCAGTTAATCTTATACCACTGAGCTGTACTAGTTGCAAAAAAACTATAGATGCTTACATACGGGATCTCACATTTGGAATCTCTCTTCTAGGCTTCTTTCGTCAGGTTCACTCATAATTATTTCTCCCTCTGTGGATGACACTGCCAGCTACGAATGCACTGTGACAAGTGAGGCTGGAGAGGACATGAGAACCATAGATCTCACTGTCCAAGGTAAATCTAGCCAAGGAAATGAATGGAATGTCACTATAGTGCTGTTATGTCATCATTCCATGACTGCACCAGAGAGCTTCCCCTTCAGCTTACCTGACACTTTCTGAGTGGGAGGAGGAGATGTGTGAAAAGGCTTTGGGAGTGTGTGGTGTTGGAATGTAAACATGCAGTTTTCTCTTGTTGCTGTTTTAGTTCCTCCTTCCATAGCAGATGAGCCTATGGACTTCCTGGTAACCAAACAGGCCCCAGCAGTCATGACCTGCACTGCTTCAGGAGTTCCAGTTCCCTCAATTCACTGGACCAAAAATGGTATAAAACTGCTTCCCAGGGGAGATGGCTATCGAATTCTGTCCTCAGGTAAGACAAAGTTCTGTGAGTTCACAATCACTGATAGACTAATTATCAATGGGCAGCCTTGCACAGCCTTTTGTCACATTAGAATAAAATGAAAAATGTATTTATACCTAAATGTCAGCATCTGGAATGTAGTTATGGTATGAAGAAAAACTGAGTAAAAGAAGAAATCGAGAATTTAGAAGCAAAATAACACGTAATATATAAAAGTGATCTAAATGTAATAAGCATGATCTCTGGTGTGCATGTAACTATGTACTAAACTTCAGATTTAACAAATTCTCTCCTTACCTGTGAGTCACACATTTTTCTTTGACCCAATAAAATGTTTATTTAAAAACCATTTAGTGCCTGAGGGAGAATTGTACTATTATGAGGCTCTAAAACTACAGGGAGGTTCCTACTTTTAAGGTTTTATAATTTCAAGAAAGGTTGAATGCTAAATATTGTAATTGAGTTTTGGACAGGGCTAATAGTCATCATTTATACAGTTTAGAGTTTTTTGAAAAAATTATGTACTTAAATAAAATTATAGGTGAAAAGCATATCTATGCTGTGCAGAGCACTAGAAAGAAGCTGGAGAAGAAATTCACGTCCTGAGACTTCATGGGTGTGCGCATATTTTTCTGAGAGAATTGTACATTTCCCTAATAGATGAGAAATAATACAATATTAACACTCAACATACAACTTTGCTTTTAAGAAAAATACTCTGGGTATCTCAAATAGATACACAGATTGACTGTGGTTCAGTAATGAAATAGTCGGTGACTACACTGGGGCTTAATCACAAAACACTGTGCTAAGAAAAGAATTTAGAACTTTCTCAGATGTTATGACAGTCAGCAGCTCCATTCCGGGTAACCTGTCTAAGACATGTGAAAACTTTTCCACACAAAGACATGTACAGATTTCACAGAGAGTCGTTCACAATAGCAAAAACTGGAAACAATTCAAATGCTTATCACCTAGTGAGTGAATATAGAAAATGTGGTGTGGTCCACAAAATGGAATTTTGTTTGACAGTGAAAGGGGATAAAATATTACACGTGCCACAGCAGATGAAGCTCAAAGCATTATTCTTACAGTGAGAACAGTCTCTCTCTCTCTCACTCGCTCTCTCTCTCTCTCTCTCTCTCACACACACACACACACACACACACACACACACACACACACAC